CAACAAGCTCTGTGTGTGAGAGCTGGACAAGAAACGGTAGGCTTGGATATTTTTTTTTATGGATGCCACTGCTGTTATGGGCAAATACAGAAATCCCCCAAACTGTAACCACTGAAAACTTGTGTAACTCCTAATAGACCTTTTTTTCCCCAACTTCCCTTCTGCCCATAACTCAGGTGGGATCCATAACTTGGTGTTTGAGTCATTACAGGACAAAGCGAACTTCTCGAGTATCTAATGCATGCCTAGTTTTTAAGCATAGGTACTGTTTACCCGTGTACACAAGTTTGAATATGTAAATGGTAACATTACACCCGTGACTCAATGCACTCGGATGACGACTAGTCCAAGTCTTTTTTTTCTGTCTGTTTGTTTACGAACTGGATTTGTATACTTGACTACAGGATATGTTTTTGTCGTGTGTGTGTGTGCGTGCGTGCGTGCGTGTGTAAACGTGTGCTTTCTGCATCGGCAACGTTAGAATGCAGTCACATAGAGGGCCACTGACAAGTCGCATCATCCTCGCCACATTACGGCAACTTCGGGGTCACCGTTTTCACCTGTCAGCTGCTGTTGCATTGTGTGGTATCTTGGTGTTTGTGATTATGATGCACATACAGTGTACTTACTGTAAGCGAGCAGCGGAGGATCAAAGCCCTCGCCTTGGGTCACAGGGGACAGACTAAAGTTCCCTGATGACCGGTTCTGTGTTCAAACCGACCTTTAACATTGTAAATCAGTTTCATTCCTGACAATAGACTAATTTGCACATGTAGACCTTTCAGGTTAATATGAAGTTATGAGAAGCTTCATGGTAAATGTACAGTCACTTAATTCAAAGACATTTCTGATTGTCATAGAAACTGTTGTTTCGTGTTCCCACTGAGATGAGGGTTTTTTTTTCTGTTGTTGTTTTTTTTTTGATGTTCGTTGTATGAGGATCCATTTGTGCCACAATTATGTTCACACAAAGACACACTAAGCATTTGTCAGCTGTGTTTGCAATGCATGCAGTGCAAACAGGCTTCCAACAGAATCTTGAGGCAAATGATTGCAGTGATTCTGTCGAGCGTGACTGTGAAGCGACGTAAAAACTGCTGTCGGTATGATGGTGAAAAACCAACCATGGACAGACATTGAAATAAAGATGCAGTCAGACTGTCTCTTAAACTAATATAAGATAATCCATAGTCCAGCGATGAGGTGAGGTTGCGTCTCAGTGCCAGAAGTCTGCTGAAGTTCTATAACGTCACCTGATCATTATTTTTCCATCATTTATGCTACAAAGCTGGCTTTTTAAAAGATTTTACTGTGTTACATGTCAAAATGCTCTTCCCTAAAAGCTCAGACTCACTTAGTATTTAATTCAGTTCAGGCACAGCCGACTGAGCGAGAGCCCTTCGGTCAACTAGGTGTCTGTGCAGAAGAAGAAAAAGAAGAAAAAGTCACAAGTTTTCCCTGGATGAAGGATCCCTAGCGGTTCCTTTTGTCTGGAGATCTCTTTTAATTTTTCTGCTTTGAAAGCACCCGACAGTTGGTGCTCCTTAACACGCCTGTGGCTGCAGTGCAGGTTTCAAGTTTTGAGTTTTATCGTCATATAGAGGAATGGAAAAATCATAACCAGCAATGAATGCCCTGTACTTAGAGGCACACGAGTCCAATGCCCACCCTGCAGCCGAGGTGGGTCAGCAGAGATCTGCTGCTGTTGGGCAAAAACACCCACTAGTCTGGGACTGACTGTGCTCCAGATGATGCCATGACGTCATGTGTCTTTCTATTTATTTTATCCCTTGTAATAAGTATAAATCCTATATTGGATGAGGCTCTCGTCTTTTCTAAGTGCTGCTCTGCTTGTCTCTTGTTTTTGTGAACAGACATGAAAGTTTAAAAAAACGCGGCCAGTTTTTTCAAATCCAGTAAAACGAGCAGGGCGACTTTTCGGGCATGTTTTGGCCACATGGAGAGCAGCCGTACAAATGTAATTTTGACACCAGTGGATCCTCATACTAGCACCTAAACTGACTGCTGCCGTTTGTATGATGCAAGGTTGCAAACGGCTCTTAAAAATGTCCAGAGTCGTAGGATTACGTGGCCGTTGTGAAGTCAGTCAGAACACTACTTTGACTTGTCTTTGAGGTGAAATCTTTCCTGCACTTTTTAAGAACATGTTTTAGATTTAGAGTGACGATGTTGATGTTTTAGAAACATGGTTAAAAAATAATAATATTTACTGTGTCTTAGAGTAGAATCAAACATGTAGGAATTGTTCACGTTCACACACAAAAAAAAACCCACACAAAAAAAATAAATGGGGGAGCACTCTGGTGAAAGCTAGTGAACCTTTCTAACCCACATAATGAGCCAAATAATAAGACTAGTGAGAGACGGGATTGGTCAAATATGATGGGAGATCTGGACTGGAACATATTGTTTTGCAGGTTGGATTTTAAGTTTGAATCCCTCAAAATGAAAGTCTTGTAATGTTTACTCTCTTTGTGTTGCTGCCTCGTGAGGAGGGAGGTATTTATGTTTCAAACCACAGCAAAATGATTGATCATTACACACTCACACACTCGTATTTATTCCCCTTCGATATAAAACTCCACCTTTGTTTCGTTGTTTCCTGTTAACATTTCTCTTGAAATGGACCAAGTGATGCAGCAGATGTCTTGTTGGGGGAGGCGTTGTGTGTTTGAGGATGTGGGGGGGGGAAGCCCTGTGCTCTGGCTTTCCATTCACACTGTACAGAAATCTAGCATGTCTCTCCAAATGATTAATAAAGATGTCTTATTACCAAAGTCATGCACGGGACTTTTCTTAAATAAACTTTACTTCTTCTTTTCTTTCTTCCTTAGCTTTGGAGGACCAAAGCTGTAAAAATCCAAAATAAATGAAATAAATAAAACATTTTAATAAGATTTGTGTGGGGGTGCCTCCCAGGTGGGGGCTTTCAGGTATGTCTTACTGGAAGACACTGGAGATAATATCCCAGAGGAGCTGAAGAAAGTGGTCGGGGAGAAGGAGATCTGAGCCTCTCTGCTTGAATCACTGCGCTCGTGAACTTTATAAACGGCTGAAAATAAGATTAATTAAAAAAAATATAATTGCAAATACAATGTATTTATATATATTTTAAATAATTGCTACCTGAGTGTATCTTTATACTATATTTAGTTATTTTAATTTTATATTTTTAATAGGTCATTATGTATTTCTTTATATAGTTTTAATTTGACAGTTTTGGCCATTCGTACTTAGCCAGAGAAAAACTATATAAAAGATGGACATGGCCGTCATCGTTCTTGAAACAAGGACGTAGAGCTGCTGTAAAACAATCTGTAAATGGTCAGAGCATTTCCAATCCAGATCCAGTCCCACCTACCTAAAAAAATTTTAAAAAAAATCTTAGTTTGAGTCTTTGTTGGCAGCCTAAAAAAGTAGTGATACAGTAAATTAAACATTTATTTTTGTATTACTAACACAAAATATCAAAGGTTTCCTTTATACACACTGGATAAAAGCCAGATTTAAATTTTAACCTTTTGAAAACTACAACACAGAAAAATATGGGACGCAATAAAAACCCTGAAATGATTGGATAATGCTAAAACTGCTGTACTGTCATGACTTTAAGCTTTCTGTTATGTGCATTCTCTCATTGTGTAGGTCACAATAAGGAATTATTGTGTCAAGTTATCATACATGGCATGCATGGTTTCTACTTTGACTCAATAACGATTATCTCCAGTTTCTACTCATGACGGTTTGCTGATTTCATTGCCGTTTCCAGCTGTGAAACAGAAACTAAATGGTGACTCTTTCTAGGCCACCTGTGCAGGTAATAATGTAGCGTTTTAATCACAAGAATGAAAGTTGATCTTTAATTTGTTTAATTAATCCCAGACGTATTATTCTGTACTGCGAGTGTTTGTGTGAATTCAGATACTCAAACAGGAATGTACTATTGTTTGCAATGCAGTACTGAGGAAATGATCTTACACCATGACGTTGTTGCAAAGTTTCCCCGCTGGAGCTGAAAATATTTTTGCGGCTCCGGGGTAAATAACTGCCTCATTAATCAGTCTGACCAAAGAAACCTACAGATGCTTACGCGTGCCTTCAGTTTTTAAGTTGGTGTAATTTACCACAGTATTTAATTCTGATGCTAGGCCTAAATTATCCTCCAGGAAAAGTGTAATTTTATATTTTAGCATTCCAAATCCGACTGAAGTCAGTTATCTACATTATCCCACCACTGCTGAGACAATCTGGGAGTTGTTTCCTGTTCTGTTCAGCTTTAATCTTGGGGATTACCACCATCAGGCCTGCACTGAGAGCCAGTAAATACATTGCAAAACTGAAACTGGTTCTTTGCCATATACACAATCATGCGTGTGCGTGTTTGTTTGTTGCTGCCTTCCTGATACATTCCCGTCCAGCCCGCCCCCGTGGCTGCCAGCTTGTTTTGAACTTGGAAGCAGCTTCCTGTTTGGCACTCATTTAACACTTAAACGTGGGAATATGGTATCTAAAGGCAGAATAACACACCGCCTGCCAATACGTGACTAAGAGTGTGCAGGCTAACAGTTGAGTCCAAACCAGTGTGACAACTAACAGATTTTCAGCTCCATCCAAACAGCACTGACCTTAATGTGACTGAGACAACAAACACATCATAGTCCTCTCAACGTATCTTCTTTAAAATATGTCGGGTGGGTTTAACGTGCACATAAGGTGGAACAAAAAGAAAAAGTGATGATCCAGTTTGCAGATATCATTGAACGTGGAATATGTGCCAGATGCTCGGTGAATGGAGTTTTATAATCCACTTTCGTGGTTGAATGAGTCTTTTGTGGCAGGTTTTTGTTGTGCGTCTTCTCCACAGAAATAATATTCAGATTTTTTCACTCACTTAAATACTTCATGTGTCATAAATGGTGCATGCGGTAAAGGAGGAAAGCTCATGATTCTTTCAGATGTCAATAAAACCCAATGGAAACTTGTTTCAAAAATAGCTTTATTAAATACTTCATGTCCTAGCTATCATAAATACAGAAAACAATAAGTTATGATGGCTATTCAGGAGCTGAAATGGAGAGGGGACCATCTGTTCTGAGGGGGTCTAGGTCTACGGGTGTTAGCCGCTCTGGGACAGCTGAACTAAATCCCACAGCAACGGCTGGGAGAATTAATCCTAGAATAAATAATGGGGAGACGGAGCACCTTTGGCTGAGGACAAAACCGTGTCCTGACAGGATCACAAATGAATCCTCCTCCCCCAGCGACCACAGCTTCCCTTCAAAGTTGAGTCTTCTCTTCCTGAGAGCGGCCACTTGTCAGTTTTCGTATTTTTAAAAAGTCTCTTCTGTTGAAAGTCTGCGCCAGGATTTCATTTCCCTTTAAGATGAAACAAACAGAAAAATTTAAGTGATCATTTTTACTAATAATCTGTAAATAAAAGCTACAAACTCAGGACGTACACATTGCTGCCAGACACGATTCTCTCCTGGTGTTGCTTCGTCAGACTGAACCTCCTGAAGAACGTGGGCAGTTTGAGCTTCGCTCTGGCGGATCTCGAGGAAATGCTGAAAAGAGAAAAGGCTCTCGTGTCAGACTGGGCTTTGGGAAGAATGCTGTAGAGCCGAGGCGCTAATGAGAAGCTGTGTGGACAAATGGACTGCTCGGCACTAATGTGTAAATGACTCGGTATGACAGGAATTTTATATTCAGCACTCCCTCCAAAGAGGTTTTGTTCTCAGTTTCTGCCATTTAAAACATTTTCAGTCCTCAACTTCCATGCTGTAATGTTTAAAGACTCAAAATGATAAACCCACCATTCTCCTTGTAACTGTTTATCTTCTATCCTCTCCTGTGCTGCTGTTTGCTTCTCTCCGTCCTCCTCTTCCTCTTCATCTCTTACGTCCACATCCTCCGGTATCTGGTCCCACAGCTTGCTGTTGACCCACAGAGCTTCTCGAAGACCTCGACCTCGGCCTATGCAGGTCACCCGGCGACACAAAGGGCAGCCCACGGTGAGCAGACCGTTCCTCTCCGTTGACATCCTCTCCAGACACGAATCGCAGAAGGTGTGCCTGCAGTGGAGCACCCGGGGGATCCTCTCCACCCGGGAGTAGGGCAACAGGCAGACGCTACAGTCGCCATCCTCACAGAGAACCATGGTCAACCCTGACAACTTGTGGACTGAAGGATTTTTCTACAAAATCTAAATTTTTAATGGGTGTGAAAAGGCTTTCTGCAAGTCCAGTGTTTAGAAACAATGGTGAAGATGATGGCTCCTGCAGGTCCCAAGCTCACCAAAGTGACTCCCTAATACATTAAAAAAAGATTTTTATCAGCTATTAGAAGCATTGTTGCATCAAATTTAAGTTACATTTGTAGTTAAGATGTCCAATTAAGATCTAATAATTTAATATTTAAATAAAGGCTAATCTGGATTATTGTAGTATTGCTGTTTTATCCCAGACAATGGACCTGATTAGAAAGGACAGCAATATACCAAAATACACTACCATCTACTATCTTATGCTGTTTTGAAAGAAAAATGTTTCAATGATAATAATAAAGAGTGTACTTACAGCTGGCCTTTGCGTGTAATTTATTGTCGTCTTTGGCTGCACAGCTCAGCCTCTCTGCAGTAAATGGTGTCAGAAAGCCGGCTCGTCTGCCTCCTGTTAGGAGTGTCTGTTGGGTTTGTGGGGGCGGAACAGAAACGTCTCCAGCTCTTTCTCTTTCTCACGGCCCACCCAGCATAACAGCTGGGGAAGCAGAGCGGCAGGGACGCTCTTTGTTCAGTGTTTGACAACAGGCAGGTGGAGAAACGGGGAAATGACGCAATGGAAGGCGGGTGTAGTCAAACAGAAAAAGTAATCTAGTTAGCTTTAACATTAAAAACATTCTTATGTTTCAAGATAAATTGAAAAGGGTTGATATTCTTCAGGAAAAATAGAAAAGGTGGGCTCGTCCGGGATTTGAACCCGGGACCTCTCGCACCCAAAGCGAGAATCATACCCCTAGACCAACGAGCCAGTTGCAGGGAATCCCGTGGTAGTGTTTTTATATGTTAACACATGACTGTATTTAATCAACAATAATGGCGTCACTATAAGACAATATAATCGCAACCTCAATATAAGGACTAACCGATGTCAGCAAATTCCTGAAAACTGTTTGGACGGAATCGACGTAAGAAATATTTTTCCTTCCCAAAATACAACTGACCACAAAGAGTAGGGACCCTACACTATTTTCTTGGTTTCTACCGTGACTGGCACAGCATATAAATCACCGGATCTGAGACCGTCCTACTTTGGCAAATCGTCCTATAAGTAGGATAATTTGAAAGTGACTTCTGACAAATCGTAACCCTAACTATAACCCTAATCATAACCATAACAAATATTCACATTGGCCTAAAAAAATGAAGTCAATTTGGGGTTTGTGTTTTTGCGCACGCGCAGCGCACGCGCACGCGCAGAAACAACGGGTAGACTGTTTAGTGTGGTGGGACGGATTGCCAGAACACCAGAACACGACCAAAAGACAATTCAGAAGTGAAAACGCGCATTAGCTTGAAAACTGGTAGAAGTGCTGACCACTTACGTAGACTCCATAGTCGACTCTACAAAAATTCACTGCAGAAGTTTGAAGTAAATATGTTTACAGTCCTTAACGGTACAAAAACTGGGCTCGTCCGGGATTTGAACCCGGGACCTCTCGCACCCGAAGCGAGAATCATACCCCTAGACCAACGAGCCACGTGTTCATAGGATGTCTGACAATATCCTTTAATCTTCTAAAAAGCCAACAGGATGACCTACATTATGATAATATTTGTTAAAAATCGTTACAGGCAACAGGGAATTTCCAAACACGAACTTTCACAGCTAGGCGTGTGGATAACAAGTCTGTTTTGAGTATTTTAAACCAGCTGCTTCCTGTGCTCTGAAGTTACGTACAGCGTGTTGACATCACATGCCGTGGTGGAGTTACCGCCATATCTCAGGAAGCGCGCTGTTCGGTTGTGCAGTGTAGTCCAGCTAGTGATGTAAACAAATAAAGTTGGATGAGTTGACACGGACCAGCCCCAGCCAGCAGCTAACGTGAGCTAACAATGCTGTAAGCAGAAACCACCTCCGTGTAGCAGTGAGGTCAGCCTTGGTTTAGCTCGCTGTGTATTATGGGTTGCTAGTAACGTTTATGGTTGCTAAGTTATAGTAAACTTCTTGCGTAGGGAAAGGGCACGTGAAACGCGCCCGCAAAGCCAGTCCGCTTTAAGTTACTAACAGGACTGACGTTACTTTGAACCAGATGGAGGCTTTTCTGGGGTCGATGCACAGCCCTGATCTGAGGTAACTTGCACTGCGCTTAAAGAACTAACTTGGGCCATGAGCATTTACAGAAATTACACCCTTTTCGTTATTTGCCTTTTTCTTTCAGCTCAGTCCTTTCATCGTGTGAACCGGAGCTTCAAGAACTGATGCGACAAATTGACATCATGATCAACGATCAGAAGAAGAAGTGGGAAGATGAGAACCGCGCCTTGGAGCTCAGGGTGAAAAGTAGAGAAGAGGAACTTTTAAACTCAAGGAGCACAATTGAACGGAGGGACCTGGAGGTGAAATAGAAGAGCCTAAGAGTTTATACTAAACAGGAGCAAAGTTCTAAAAGATAAATAATGATGTGTACACGTGTTGATCCAGTATTGGTACTCCTCCCTCGATCCTGTTAGTGATGTTCATGGACAGGATGTCAAAGTGTAGCAGGTGTGAGGAGGTGTCCATTGTGGGAACCTCGAAATCACATCCCTGTGTTGTGCAAATGATCAGCGAAACTTCAAGATACAATATAAAAGGACATATATATTAACATTAATGTTTCTGGGACATTAACAGGTAAAAGGTGCTGCTAGGTGTGCACATATACTTTGTGGCAGAGTGCAGTGAGGTGTGTTTAGTCTTGATCAGTATGTGTGGGTCTGACCCAAGTAGATGAATTAAAGAGTCTGATAGCAGCAGACTCTCAGACAGTGAGGTTAAAAGAATCTCCAGGTTGACGAGCTTCACGCCGACTACAGATTCGGCCTTCCTGATGAGGTTATTCAGTCAGTTTGCATCCAACAGATATTGTTCTTCATCACAGCATGACCATCAGCATGCACTGGAGCTGTTTGCAGCCAGGATGAGGCCTGCACCTAAAGTGATGGGAACGTGGAGTGTGATGTGCCTGCAAACTCCTAAAGTACATGCTGAAATCTGGAGAATGACCTAACGAGTGTGGTGGTAGATACAAGCAGCTGAAGTGAGTCTGGGTGTAGCGGTAGGATTAGGAGCCAGGAGATCTGGAGGGAGCTCAGAGTCGAGGCACTGCTCCTCGCTGTTAAAAAGAGCAAGTTGAGATGGCCTCTAATCAGGACACTTGCTCCCTTTTGAAGGTTTCCCAGCGGTGTTGCTTCGTCTGCTGCCGCCACAAAGCAACGTCAGATGAGGAAAAGAAAAATGGATGTTGTTGATATGATTAAATCAGCCTTTATTTAAGTAAAACTAGATTTGGATCCTTTATTTTTGTTGATGATTTGATGATGATACAATTTGTAGATTGTGAACCTGCAATTTTTGTGGGACACCAACGATGAAGTGGGGTGGTGCGTCAAGGCTCAGTGTGAATAAATAAAGAGCATTTTGAGTAGAGACCAAAAATAAAAAATATGCAGCTGGTAATGAGCATAGCCTCAATATAAGATAGTTGCTAACACAGCTCATAAATTGAGTGCTCATATTAACTCTTTCCAACACCATTACTGTCCTCACCCATGACTGTAGATTGGATTACTCCGCAAGCAGCTTGAAGATGTCAAGACTGGTCCACAAGAGTTAGCCGCCAAGTACGAGCAGCAACTGCACAAACTCCGTGAAGAGGTGCGAAAACTTGTCTGTTACAAATCTTTTCTGCTTTTGCTTGGGCAGAAGTTTACAGTTTTTCTGTTTGTACTCACTCTCCTGCATGATTTCAAATATAGTAAGTGCATTTTTATTCCTGCAGTTGGATAAGTTAAAGAGAAGTTACCATAAGCTTCAGCGCAAACACCTCAAGGACGCTAACGCAGGAGTGAAAGAGACAGACCTCCAGAAGGTGAACCCTGACATCACCCCAGTCATGCCATTGGATTGCTGCCGTCTTCTGGGTATGTGAGGTATAATGAAGCTCCCCTCTCTCTGCAGGAATATCATCAGCGCTCTCTGGAGTGGGAGCAACAGCGCACCCAGAGCCGGCAGGAGCTCACAATCCTGGAGACCGAGAATAAGAGCTTGAAAGATGAGCTCTCACACATAAAAGTAAGTTCAGTGACTTCAGCATGTTAAGAAAGCAGAGGCTTGTTTGTTTTATTCACCACGTGTTTTCTGTTGTTTCCAGTCCCAGTGGGCAGCGCACCAAGTGGAGAGGGAGCACAGGGATTGCTGTCTGGAGGTGCAGCGCCTGCGCTCTCAGCTGGAAAAAGCTCAGAGAAGTCTGCACACGCAGGAGCTGGAACTGGAGCGTCTCCGACCACTTGAGAGTTGGCAGGTAGGTTCAGAAACCTGGGGAAGGTGATGGGACTGAAGATTCCCAATTAAACAACTCTCACAACAAGTTTCTCCGACATGTATTAAGCCTGAAAGAAAAGTTAAATGAAAAAGACTTTAGTCTACCGATCAACTTTATCAGTGTCGAGAAACTGAGCTTTAACATTTAATCCAGTGCCCATAAACCTCTTAATGTTGATTTTTCAGTTAAGCCTTTACAAGCTCAAAGTTCCTCATAGGTGCCAGGTTAAAGTATGTTTTAATCACCTGAGGATCTGCTGTTTTGCAGGTGCTTTCTGAGGAATGGGAGGAGCTGGACTCCCAGGATGCATTTGTGCGGCAAGCCAGTCTTGAGCGCCAAAGACTTCGTAACGAAACAGCCAGATTCAACCAATCACTGCAAGCTAAAGATCAAGTCATTCGGTGGGTGTATGTCTAGCGATGTAGTTCAGCAACGTATACAGAAGGGGGCGTACTGCGTCCACACTGTAGGCAGGATATTGCTTTGTAGCACTGTAGCTTTCCAAGTGACTGACTCTGAAGTATCCGCAGCCAAAACGAGAGCTGATCAAATTCTTTAAATGCTAAGCAAACTGGCCATCTACCTGCAGACTGTGTCAGTTGTAGATGTAGGGAGTGTGAAAAATGTGGTATAACTGGTCTGTGGGCTACTCCTGCTTGTGCTGTTGTTGGTCTGTCAGCGACTGTTAAATACGACCCCGAGTGTTAAAAACCACAACAAGTGTCCACTGCAGCCACGGTCTGTACTTTTCATACTGTAGTTTTTGTAATCTTTAATGATTGTTTCATGGTTCTCCCGTCCCTAGTGAACAAGCCTGTTTATTTAAAATTACAACATCAGTAATGAAGTGATACTTTTATCCAGCCTGCATGAATCAACACATCCTCCTAACATCTTTTCTTCATCTTCTGATGTTTTCTGTTGGGAAAAACAATTAGCGATTGTCCATCATAAAGGTTGCCATCCTGTGAATGTTTGCGTGATGTTCTTGTGCAGCTCTCTGGAAGACTGTCTGGTAGCTCAGGGCTGCAGCGGTGTGGAAATCCTCAGACGAGAGCTGGAGAAGACTGCAGCCAAGCTCCAAGGTGCCCAAGCATATCAGGGTCATCTCAAGGCTGAACTGGCATGTCTCAAAGAGAGGTAATGTTAGTCCGCCCCTTCATGTAGTCCAAAACCCAAGTTTGTTTTTTAGTCTTTTAGTCCTGTCTTGAGCTGAAGCAAATAGTGAGTGGGAATGGGGTGCACCTGATTTATATCACCAGAAGAAAAATTACAGACCGAATCACTTTTCTCCAAATCAGAAGTATTTTAGGATTCAGCTATCAGGAGAAAAGGAACCGTGGGAGCAAAAAGTTGCAGAGTGATGCTAATATTTTTTAGTCCTTGTGTGGGAATATTGAATATTTATGCAATGTAGCTTTTGAATGTCTTTGGACCTTGGTGGTCCTTTTTAAATGTGTATATGCACTGAAATCGACCTGAAGTAAATTAAGAAAAAAATGCAGAGTACATAGAGTTGTCAGTGGATTTCATTCAGATCTTTTTTCTGTGCGAGTCATTGCTTTTATTTGTCTGGACTCAGGCTGCAGGTGGTGAGTAAACAGAGAGATGACAACTTGAAGACGGAGCAAGAACTGCGAAGCCTGAAAGCTGAATGTGACTCTTCTATGGCTGAAGCGAAAAGGGTCTGTGTTTTTGTTTTTGTTCATTTTTTTTTTTCATCAGCTCTGCGTCACTACCTCATGTCCTGCCTACGTTTGATCTACAGCTCAGAGAGGACCTTGAGCGGGCCAGGCAGACTCACAGCGGTGAAGT